AGGCAGGTCTTTGTGGTTATGTGTGTAGATACATGTATGATATATGCACATTATGTATGCATGTACATATGTGTATGAGGACCGCCTCCGTGCACACACACAGCTCTCTACAGACAGCATTATTTAAACCAATGCAAGAAACCTACCTAAAAGTTCCAAAGAAGGTCTAAAAGCTAACGCCAGATGGTCTGGAAATTCGGAGATGCTCTCCTAAATTATTCCTAAGCCAGAGAGTTAATAAAATTCGGGTGACAGGAGATTTTACAATTATACCGAAAGAGCAACTGCACGTTCACGGAGCAGCTTCAGGGAGTTGGCAGAGAATTCACAACCTTAAATGTTTTTATTACTGAGCAAGAGCGACTGAAAATAAATGAACTAAACATTCGACACAAGGAGGGAAAAACAGAACAATAAAGTAAATCCACAGGAGGCAGGAGGGGGTGAAGATAAAGGCGGATTAATGAATTGGAAACAAGAAAAATGGGAGTGCCTGTCAGCAAATCCAAAAGCTGGCTCCTCTAAATAAATAAATAAACTAAGCAAACCTCCGGCCAGTCTAATCAGCAAAGAGAGACGCACACAGAGGCCCGCAAGGATATGGAGAGGGAAGTCAGAACAGCAAAGGAGAGATTGAAAGTGACAAGCTAATACAGTCGATATTCTTGACAAAATTGACAATTTTAAGACAATATAAATTACCAAAATTAACTTAAAAGATTTAAAAAAAAAAAAAAAAAAAGCACAAGTCCACACTGCAGAACGACAGGAAAAGGTGTGTTATGAGGCTCCAGCTGGAGGACTTCCGTCTGGCACAGCCCAGGGGCAGGAGCCCACCCTTCAGAGAGACCTCTGCAGGTTCTAGTACACTTCAAGGGGCAAACCGCCAGCTGGGGGGACCAGAGAGAGGTTCTCTGGCAGTGGAGGGGTGGACGGCTGATGGACCAGCTCAACACCCCCTTCTGGAGCCACTGATTGGTGGCTGCTGTGAGGGATGGGACTTCTTCCTGGCTGTGTAAAGGGCTGGGCTGGAGGCTAAGGGCCGGAGGCCATGGTGGCACCACCTGCCCGTGGCCTTGATATTGGGGGATGATGGGAGGGACCTGAGCTTCTTTGTACAACCAGAAGCCTTGTTCAGGTGTTGGGAAGAGAGCAAGATGGAGAGGGTCACTCATCCCCAGGACCAGCTGAGGCTCTAGCTACCGTCTAAGCTCTACCCATGTCCCCGCTGGACTTGAGTATGGGGCCATGAGTGCCCTCACACCATCCAGCTATACACGGAGTACAACAATGAGAGAGGACCAGCCCTCTGACTCAGCTCACAGATTCTGTCTGGTTTCACGTGGAGATCACATACGCTTTGTGCTTTACTTTGAGAGGATCTTCTTTTTCTCTGATCCCAGAAACTAAACCGACGGTTGTGAACCACCATCTTAGCTGAGCTGGGTGATGCATGCCCGTAATCCCAGCACTTTGGAGGAAGAGATTAGGAATTCAAGGTCATCCTTGGCTATAAGTCAAGTTCGAGGCCAGCCTGGGTTTCATGAGACCCTGTCTCAAAAAGAGAAATTGTAAATGATCAGACTTTCCTTGTTTTGAAGAGCTGGCCCATAAAAATCACCCAGAGCAGGGTGGGTGAGATGGCTGAGCAGAAAAAGGTGTTAGCCACCAGCCTGACAACCTAAGCGATTTGATACCCTCTTCTGACGTGCAGCTGTACGTGAAGAGAAAGCACTCCTATAAACAAGACAGCTTTTCTCTGTGTAGCCTTGGCTGTCCTGGATAAGCTCTGTAGACTCATTAAACTCATAATGATCTGCCTGCCTCTGCCTCTCTGAGTGCTGGGATAAAAGGTGTGTACCACCATGCACGGCTAAGTAAATCTTTTTAAAAACTAAGAAAAAAAAGTTTTTCAATTTTGTTTGTATGGGTGTTTTGCCTACATGCATGTACCATTTGTGTAAGGTACCCACAGAGGCCAGAAGAGGGATACAGATCTTTTGGAACTGGAGTTATAGACAGTTGTGAGCTGCCCTGTGGGTGCTGATATCCAAAGGCTCAGAAATTAAGAGCCTTCCAGAGGTCCTGAGTTCAATTCCCAGAAACCACATGGTGGCTCTCACAACCATCTGTAATGAGATCTGGTGCCCTCTTCTGGCATGCAGATGTACATGCAGACAGAATATTGTATACATAATAACTAAATAAAATCTTTTCTAAAGAAAAGAGGAGCTCTTAACCACCTACCTTGCCACCTCTCTAACTCTTTCTCTTTTCAATATTTATTTGTTCTTTCTCATCAAGCAAATGACTACATCGAGCTAAATGTCTCCTGGGTACAGACCAGGAGCTAAGAACAGGACTTTTTTGTTGTTGTCATTGTTGTTACTTTTCTAAAGTGTGTAGCTCAAGCTGACGTGGAACTCCTCGCGCAGTGAACTGGTGACAAACCTGTTCACTCCTGAGGGCTAGAATTACAAGCAGGAGCAACAATGACAACAACAAAAAAACTCTACACATCTCAAGGGTTCTGGTGTATAGCCTCTCCTCCAGCACCTAGTCTTAAAGATTTTGGGGGATTTGGGTGAGTCGGGGGGGTTGTTTTAATTTGGGGGGTTGTTTGTTAGTTTCGGTGCTAGGAATGAACCTAGAGCCTCACATATGCCAGGCAGATGCTCTGCTGCTAAGCCACGCTGCTCAGTGGGGGATTCTAGCCAGGACTCCGTCCCCATGCCGCACCTCCACGTCTCTCACTGGTAGGCTCTAAGCCAGTACTCTATTGTCAAGCCATGCCATCTGCCTCTTACTGGTAGATTACAGGTCAAAACTTTACGGTCAAGCAATGCCCTGGACCTTCACTGGAGGAGTCTAGGCAAGAGCTGTCATGGAGCCATACTTGCAATTAGTCCTAAATGCCTTTTCTAATTCTTATTTCTTTTTTGACCTATGAATCACATAAATACATTTCTTGTGAATTTTTATGATTTATTTTATGTGTGTGCATGTACACCTATGTATGGCACTTGTGTGGGTGCCTGTGGAGGCCAGAAAAAGGTGTTGGATGCCCAGGAGCCAGAATTACAGGTAGTTGATAGCCACGTATTTTGCTGGGTTTGAACTCAGCAACAAGTGGTCTTCGTGGCTGAGCCATCTCTCAGTCTTCTCATCAAAAAAATTTTTTACAATCAAGTTGTTTGTAAAAAGAAGATTCTTTGGTTTTGTTTTTTGTTGTTGTTGCTGTAACAAAGTTATAGTCAGATATCAATTCCTTGACATGTGTTGATATATCCTCCTGACCTACTGATGAACACACTCTGACAGATTCCCTGTGCCTGAAATTCTTTGACGTCCCATTGTGAGGAGTTTCACCAGGGGATTCATCTGAGCTCAGTCTTTCTTAGCGCTGGCCAGAATACCCGCTGGGATAGGAGATTGGTGATCTTTTTCCCTGTGGTCTGTCTAGTTTCGTCATGGCATGCAGCTTCTGAGAACAGCTACATTTGCAGTTTCTTCCTACCCAAAAGACACTCTAGTCTATTTTCACTTATGTGTTTTTGAACCAATTTGTACCGTACTGCTGTGCCCCATTCTGTTCTCTCCTTTGAAGTTGCTTATTAACCAGCACCCCCTGCTTGTCCCTGCCCAGGACCTTTGCGCTAGCATCTTTTCTCCCTGAGCAGAACATGCCTCCTCAGATGCTTCCCCACAAGTCATGAGCAGCACCCAGTCCCCCAGGGCCCAGCCAGGTAATAGCACAGGGTATATGGACACCTGAGACCAGGTTTTCTGATGAGCCCAGAGAGGTGTCTGTGCCTGCCAAGCCTGGGTGAGTATCAGGCCACGGGGCCACATTGTTTGGGATCCATGAGCAGGACCTACTCCACCTGAGCCCCACAGGGAAAGGCAGGAGTGCTGGCCCCAGGAGAGGATGTGCATGCCTTTTCAAAATGGCACTCAAAAGGTAGGAGCTCTCAGCAGAAGCTGAGAGCCTGAGCAGGCTGTCAGGGTCCACAGCAGGCTGGACAAGAGCAGCTGGCAGGGTATATTTCTACCCCTCACAGCAATAAGAGCCTTGCAGCTCTGAGTACCTGGTAGTAACGGAAACTCATCAGCCCAGTCATCAATGCTGACCAACTTACTGGTTGCACAATTATGAAATTACATTGAGCAATCCTTGTCCTAAGTGAGACCTTTGAGTAACACACTGTGATGAGGGCCTCTAAACAGAGCAGGCTGTTCTAGAAAACACTAGAAGCTTTGGTGTGGCCATAAGAACTAGTTGGGCCACTGCTTGCCTCATGGGGCTTCTCAGATGCAGTCCAGGTTCCAACAACAACAAAACCTATGGGACATCAATGGAAAGGAAAGCTTTAAGGTCGTGCCACAGCTACACAAGTGAATGTGTCAGTCAAGGACCACCGAACACAGACTCACATGGGTGCCACTGTCTGCTAATGGGTGTGTGGGTAGGAGCTGCTGGTTCCCAGTCACAGGAAAAAGGATAACACCCTGAAAGCCAGTCCCCACTCAACTTGATGTATGCTCCAGGCCATCTGAGAAGGAAGCAGGACTAATGTCAATCATCTTTCATAAATTTTCTTCAAAGAGAAGAAAAAATAAGGAAATTTTCTCCAGAGATGATCATTACCTGTGTTATCACAAAGCCCTTCCTCATAATGGTGCTTCCTTAATGGACATCACTTATGGGGACTGGTATGGCCACTTCATGTCCCAGAAGCCCGAAGCCACTGGACTAGAGAAAAGCAGCCTCAAGAGACTCAGCCCAACCCAGCCAGCACCAAACCATCAGAAAGCCAGGTGGTCCAAGCTGGCAGTTTGCCAACCACAGATATCAAAGGCCAAGGGAGTAGATCGCCCCAAGCTCTCAGGCTGTGATCCCTCCCTGTGGAGCCTGCAGACCATCAGCCCCAATGTTGCCAAGCAAATCACACTTGCTTTTCACAGCAGGGTCCTTACAAAAAGCACAGAACTGGCCAGAATCTAGGCAGAATCATGTTTAATAGAATGCCCTCTGAAAACCCATTTCAAAATAGAGAAGCTCTCCCGAACTGTAGAAGCCATAAAAATGCAAAATACTTCTTTAGGAAAAACTGAATCAAAATTACGCCTCAATTTTCAAAATAACACACAAGTTATCTCCACTGGTCAGGCACCAAGGTGACAAACAGCAACCACTGCTCAGTCAAAAGTCAGTTGTTCTCAATCTGCTCCAGGTCTAGGTCGCCGTGGTCCAGTGGGAAGATGCCCTCCTCTCCTGCACTGTCCCAGTCACTGGGGTCCCCACTGCTCCCACCCTCGCCTGTGCTGGCCTCTGGCTCCCCTGAAGCCCAGGCACTAGGGCTGGTGGGGCCAGGCCTGGGAATCCTTGGGCTAGAGCCAGGTGTGATGATGCCCACAAGACCCTGCGAGTTACACGGGGAGGACACAACAGTCTTCGCCTGGGTGTCGTCCTCATCATCTTCATAGTCCAGGGAGCAAAGGCTCTTCGAGTTTTTTAGAGTCTGCAATAGAAAAGACATAGGCTTAAGGCATTTCTGATAGGTGTTGTACAAGACAACATTCTGTCTGCCTAAGAGGGTGTCTAGCCCATTCTCCAGTCACCAAGTACCAGTCACAGCCCTTGGGCTGCTTCCTGGACTCTGATTATCCCATCCCTGGCCTCATCAGAAACCAGGGCCACAGAGTTCCCATAGCGCCTGCTAGGCTGTTTCTCAGAAGCCCAGCATGGACCCACCCAAACCAAAGAAACCAGGTATGTGAGTGCTTAATACCTGGGAAGCTCCAGATGCCAGAGACCTCAAAGAGGGCTGCATCCCAGAGCCTGTCTTGCTCTCAGCAGACAGACTATCCAGGAAGGTCCCCGTGTACCACATCGCCAACAACACCTAATTATTCAAAAAAGGCCTCAGGCAAGGTAAGCCAGTTGGAACTCATCATATCCCCACACACACGTGGTTCGTTCCTCAATTCCTAACTGCCTCAGTCCTGCTTCCCACCTTCCTCTCTCTCATATTCTAAAGGCTGACTTTCCTCAAACACAACATGTGGAGAGTGTTTTCACCCTAAAACATCTAAGACAAAAGCACACATACACACCGAAGGGGCCTCTGACTACCCCTGTCTAGGCATGACTCTGAACCCTGCCAGCATCTTAGGCTGCCTCCACAACACTTCCCAAGGCATATCCAGGGCACAGAGCCATAAGGGCTGGCTGAGAGGCTGTGCTCTCTGCGTGTCCTCTGTGAATTCAACTACCAGCTCTGCCCCAAACCAAAGCTCTCCCAGTTGCAAAAGTCCTTGCTTACCCAGAGGGCCACTTAGACTGCTGCATATTTCTCTTGGAATTCACCTATGTCCTGAGAGACACATGTGTTATGGCTACAACATACCAACTGCCTTTGACATGGCTAGGCCTTGTTTCTCTACCACTTTCCCTGGTTTGACCTTGCATTTCCTTCCTGCAATGTTCAGTCCCTTTTACACACCCTGTCCATGACTTTAACACAATCTCCACCAAGCTCCTTTAAACTGGCCTCTTACATGTAGCAGTACAGAGGTGAGTACTCTAGAAAGTATGTGAATACCAGGACAGCAACACAGATGACAAGACACACACCATACAAGCAACACTGACCTTTAGAACATGAGCTAACCAGTGCTACAAAACAACAGAAAAAGCCACCCTAAAACCTCTCTGCGCTGAGACAGAGCAGCCCAGGGTGGCTTTAAACTTGCTATGTAGCTGAGAACAGCCTTGACCTTTGGACTCTGAATGCTGGAGTTCCAGACATGTGCTACCACTCTTGACCAAAAATCTACTTTTTGACTAAAAGATCCCTAGAAACAGGCCCATCACAAAGATAGACACATAAGCCCAAAGGGAGAACAGAGCTTCTCAGAGCTGTGCTTTTATGAGAATCAGTTGTCTCCACAAGACATACTACAATGTGTCTTGTTTTTATTGTTCAACTATAAAAAGGTGACTCTCTGCTAGGCATATGGCACTTGGCTATGCACACAGCTGTCATCCTAGTGCTCAGAAAGAGTTGGAAGGCAGGAGGATCTCACTTTCTAGGCTACTGGGAGGGTACACAGAAACTGTTTCAAAAAAAACAAAACAAAAACAGTGAGCCAATTTGAGAAGTAATATTCCAAAAAGCAAACCCTTAAAGATATAAGCAGCTAGATTCTGGTCACAAAATAAAGAAATAGTTTTGTTTTGTTTTGTTTTTACTCAAATCAAGATAAATTGACCATCCATGTCACTGTACCAGCTTAAGGACTCTGTGGCATCTTATTTCCTGTGGAGCTGCTAGACAGTGGAAGCATCCAGATGCAGGACAGTAGGCCCTGGGCTCGCACCAGCAGCCCAACAATAGACAGCCTTGGGACTGCAGTCAGGAGCCTCAGGACTTCCACACCCGTCTGACTTGTATGAGAAAACATTACTAGACTGCACTGGCCTCTGGGCAGCACAACAGGAAGCAGCACTCTGATGCACTCCTCTATTCACACAGAAATAACTGCCACTCAACAAAGAACCTGACACAAAAACACCACCACTGTGAAACCAAGCATCAGAATGTGGGCCACAGCCCACACCTATGCTGACTTGAACTGACACCACCCCCAAAGGATGTCCCCAAGGGAAGTCTCAGCACCTACTGCCACTCGATGATGATCTGCATCTGGGCAGACAAACCCACAGGATTGTTTTTTTAAAGGGGGGCAATGCTGTACATGCCAGGAATCTTGTTTTTAAGTATGCACAGTTCTTTATTAAAAATACAGTGTTCTGCCTACAATATGCCTGCACGCCAGAAGAGGGCACCAGATCTCATTATAGTTGGTTGTGAATCACCATGTGGTTGTTGGAATTGAACTCAGGACCTTTGAAAGAAGAGCCAGTGCTCTTATTTATCTGAGCCATTGCTCCAGCCCATCCAGGAATCTTCTGAGTTGAGAGAAACTGACATAGTCTGTTGTATCCAGTTCCCACCACAAGCCTCCTCGGCCGTGTCAAAGCCAGGGGGAGCACCCCCTACAACTATCCTGACACTGCTGCCACAGGCATCTAAGAGTTTTCCTCTTCACATGCTGAGGAAGCATGGCAGACGGAGACACCTAAACCTTCCGCCAGCAAAGCTGTTCCACAGCCCAAGGTGGAGCCAGAGTCCTAGCTGAGTGCAGTAAGCAATGCCAGGAAGGGAAAGATCAGCCTGTCTCAAGTTAAAGAGGCCTCAGGTGATACACAGAGCATCTCTGCCTTGGCAGATGACAAAGATATCCAGAACCCACAGTGTCTGCCCCCGGCTCTGCCCAAGAAGAGAGGTCTACTCTCAGGGAAGAGTGAATTTAAAAAACGGATAAGGGTTTTAAGAACAGTGGGGATAAGGGAAACTGAAAACCCCTGTGCCTCAAATGGAGAGCCCCAGGCCCCCAGAGAGCCACACCCTTCCCCAGTCTTCCCAGGGGGGAAGTAGCTGTATGGGGGGCTCAGAGAGGCCCCAGCACCTTGGCCCCACTGAAGAAATCAGAGATAGTGAGGTGCACTGGTCACAAAGTCAGGATGGAACAGAGCCAACAGACTAGACACCCAGAAGTGGATGCTCAGGCAGCAAGCAGAAATATAAGGTGGGTCAAGGTCCCAGGAAGATGGAAGAGTGGCCTTAAGGGGATGTAAGTACTCTACACTAGGTATACAGAAAAACTCCCCACCCAGAACACGGTGATCCACAATGCCCCACTACGACCTGGGGAGAAGGCAAGGCTGGTGCCCTACCCACAGCCACACCCCACAGAGCACAAGGAAGGGCAAATGATGGGACAGGACTTTCCTCAGTGGAACAGCTGTTTCAGAACAATGTACTAGCATCCAGGAGACCAGCATCCAAAAGCAAAAAAGGACAGGGAAAGAGGTGGATCCTTGGGTACAGCAAATAACATGCCAGGTCTGTCCTGCAATGAGCTGCTGCTTCATAAACCCAACACACTGGTGCCATGGTGTCATGGGCAGAAACCTCACTCTGCAAAATGGGAAATATGTGTTATAACTGATCCTCCCCCCATCCCCCGCGCTTGTTTTTTGTTTTTTGTTTTTTTTTTTTTGAGGCAGAGTCTCCTACATAACCCTGGCTGTCCTGGAACTCAGAGATCCGCCTGCCTCTGCCTACCAAGTGGGAGGGATTAAAGATGCTTAACATCACTACACAGTTTAAACAATCTTAAAACTGTGAAGCAGAAAAACCTAGCAGACGATCCTGAAGTCAACAACAGCAGGCAAGGATGGGGAGGTAGGAACCATCATCTGACAGGGACAGAGACAGGAACAGGCGGACGACAGGGCAAGGAGTAACGCGGAGGCGGCTGATGAGGAGGCAGCTAACAAACAGGTAAGGGAAGTACGGTAAACGGGCCTGGTCACCCTGACATGAGTGGCAGGGTCTGAACATACTGTCTGCCTGCTGGACCTTTTGCCTGTCAGTCTGCATGCAATCCTACTTTGAGGGAAAGCAAGCCCTGCTCTTAATGTTGACCCTGAGGGCCTATAACATTAATGGTGCTATAGACAAGAGAGCAGGGATGACTAATCATGGGCCTATGGTACTCTATGGCTGTCAAAGATGCCCAGACTATGTGACCCGAGCTACGGGCAGGGTCTGGCCCTGTGAGGTGCCAGTGCCCCTCTGTTCATTACAAAGGCAACTAAAGAAAGCACTGTAAAGCGTTACTCATTTACTCCCGGGGAGGGAGGCACAATCATCCATTACATTGCTTTTTAGTAGTCTCAGACGCTAATTATTTTAACTGGAGAGATTATGATAGTAAGAGTAAGAGGATGGAAGCTTCAACAACACAAACACACAGGCCTGCACCTCTCCTCTGCTGGCTACCCTGTCAAGAGTCTGCGCTGAGAATGTGCTCAATGTCCGAAACAGCAGAAGTGTGCACATGTGCCTGTCAGACAGAGAGCAGAGTCTCAGCCCTAACCAGCAGGGTACTGACTCCACCACAAGAAATCTTAACTGATCAAAATCTAGGGAAAAGGTTTAAAGTCACTGTGAGGGAGGCACTTAAAAAAGAATGTCTGGGGGCTGGGAAGATGTCTCAGTCAGTAAGGCGCTTGCCACACAAGTATGAGGACCTGGGTCTGACCTCCAGCACCTACATAAAAAGCCAAGTATGCTGCTACATGCTTATCACCCCAGCACTGGGAACACAGAGACAAGGGAGTCCTTGGTCCTCTGGTCAGTTGGCCTAGCCAAGCTGGTGAGCCCAAGTCCCAAATTATGTTTCAATTATGAAAAACAAACAAAAATGTGGTAGCCGGGCATGGTGGCATACATCTTTAATCCCAGCACTCAGGAGGCAGAGACAAGCGGATCTCTGTGAGTTTGAGGCCAGCCTGGTCTACAAAGAGAGTCTAGAACAGCCAAGGCTACACAGAGAAACCCTGTCTCAAAGAACAAAAAAACAGATTATTACACTAACATAATCCCTAACTTCATCATAAATATTTGCCCTTATAATCACAAATAAATGTTGTCCTCACCCCTCATCTAAGAATGTCCCTACAACAAAGTAGGAAAGATGGAAAACCACAACCAATAAAAAATACAGAGTTGTGGAACCCAGCCCAATGGACACATTTACAAAATAACTCCCTCGCCTAAGGCTTAGGAACATAGTGGAAGATGGAGCAGACAGATTGTAAGAGCCAAGGGATAAAGGAGTTTGTTATGAGATTGTGTTTCCTACTTACATCAAAGCCATGAAGTCTTACCAACAAGGACAAGATGCCAAAGTGGATCAAGGAAAGACCTTGAGGCCTCATGCCTACACAAAGAACTCTAGAAATAAATACGCATGTGCATGTATGCACATAAAATTAATTAAAGAGGCCATGAATTTGAAAGAGAGCAAGAAGAGGTACATGGGAGGCTTTGGAGGGAGGAAAAAGAATGGGAAAAATGATGTAATTATAATCTCAAAAATAAAAGAATAAATTAAAAAATAAAGTGGGTGACATTACCAAGGTTAACCTCTGGATTCCATATGCACTGCTCACATGAACACACACTCTCACACAAATACACACAAATAAAAATAAAAAGCAAAACCCACAATGCTATTCTCACTTGGCATCCTATACTACTCACCCTGTCCCTACAACACCATCTGTCTGCACAATTCTGGGTTTTAGCCAGTGCCTGCTCAGTACAAAGGGCTTAGCAAGTCACTGCAAATGGTCTGCAAGCCAGTTCTTTAAGCAGTGCATATGTACTACATGGAACTCAGAGAAACTAGGTCCCACGAGACACTGCAGTGTCTCCTTGTCACCGCTTCAGGTCATCCACTCAGGAAAGACTAAGAACATTAATGTGTCCTACAAAAGCCAATGATCAAGAGCCACAGGAAGGAGCTGGGAAGCAGGTTAGCAGCTAAGCATGACCAGAACCTTCCTGCTGAGCTTCCTGTTCAATGCCCTGAAGGGATAGAGAGGCAACACAGCTCAGATGCCCCCAGCTGAACCGGGCTCACCTGTTAGTGAGCAATCGCTAACTATACAGTGATCCTGACCTTTGAGTTTAAGTCCCAATGGGATGTGGGGACTAAGTGGAGGTTGACAAGAATAGTGTCAGGAACAGAGGATATCTGAATCCTGATGTCCCTACTGGGGTAGGGAAGGAGAAGGAACAGACCAGAGAACACCCAAGTGACAGCCACTGCTCAGGAGGACTGAATAGTGGAGCAGAGATGAGGTGGGGCCCATCAGACACCTTCCTCCACAATGAGCCTATCTATAATGTCCCAGCACCAGCACCACCCTAACCAGTTACTTTCCTCCACCTCCTAAGGAACCCAGAGTGTTCATACCATCTCAAGAACAGGACTATCCCTTGGTCATCCATCCATCTTTGCTACAAGCTACCTTCCTCCCCAAAAGGCAATGGGTCAAGGACTCCTCTACTGGAAGCCTCATCCTATGCTGTTGTCCTCCTGGCAGACATAAAGTGATGCCACATACCACACCCACAGCACTGGCTAGCATGGAAAGTTTGGGTGCCCAGGTCTTGCTGCCAACTTTCCAAAAGTCAACACCGCACTAAAATGACCACCACTTCCCTTCTATCAGCCTTCTATAATCACACCAGATATGTGGGCTTTCAACCCTCATTGGCACCAAGAAGAAGTTTCTGGAAAACCTGTCAGACAGAGTCAACAGTAACATCAGCAGGATGCAAAATAAGCATCAACAGGACCTGGGCTACCTGCCATAAAACTGGGACTGCCAGAAAGGCTTCTCCCAAACCTTGTGGCAGTGGCTGTCCTATCTGCACCATCCCCAATATGGGTTCAACAGATGCTAAAGCAGCTCCATTCAGGACAGCCCTGGCACCTACAACACCCAGAGTTTGACATGCATCCACAGTGATGCCTACAGGAGGCAAGTCAGGCCTGAAGCCCTGGGACAGGAATGGGCAATGGAGTCAGGAAACTGCCAATGCCAGTCACCAAGAGAAGAGAGGCACCACCCTGCCTCCTCCCAACACCCTCAAGTCCTGGTTCCTACATGAAGAACCAGGGGACCATGCCTTTAATCTGAACATTCAGGAGGCAGAGGCAGGCAAATCTCTATGACTTCAAGGCCAGGCTGGTCTTGTCTACATGAGTTGCAAACCAGACAAGGCTCCACAATGAGGCACTGGTTGGGGGAGGGAGGGGGATTGGAAAACAACAGGAGTCTATTATTTCTGCTCCTCCCTAACAGCCCAGAGTGGAGCAGAGCTGCTGGGCTCGACTCCAGCTCTCACAGAGTGGCTAAGAAACCCTAAGGTCCCAGATGCATCCAAGGGAACATGTTCTCCTAGGCACAGTGAGGACCCATTCTCACAGTTCTCCTTCTCCCCATGGCCAGAAGTTAGCACCTCTCTGGGATCCACATGAATGCAGGCCACCGTGGTACTGCCAGACACAATGGTCTACCACACTAGATAAAATGTTCCCTCAAAACAAGACACCTCCAGAATGTGCCAGGGATGTCAGGGCATGAAAGCACAACACATCCAGGTACATGCTGGTCTCTGTGGCACAGCCAAGGCACCAGCTCTGGCTCCCATAGTTATCACAAGCCAAGGGACTGGCTTTTCAGTGGTGCCAAGCTCTGCCTCTGCCTCCAGGAATGGCTTCTCACCTTATAAACAACTGCAACCCCAAAATGTAGATAGGGCTCCCAAGAAATAAGGATGCACCAAATATAACAGCTTAGCTGAAAATCCATTCAATCCCTTCTTGCCTCCTCAGAGCCCAGGCAGAGCTCAGATCCACATGTGGGGGCTCTGCATATGAGGTATGACTGAGGTTTTGGGAGGTCAGCGGGAAAGACCATCCTCCCACCAACCCAAGCTATGCCATGTTCCCTGACAAGCTGGCCTTACACAGCATGTAGGCTCAAAAGACCCTAGTTAAGTAAGACTACAAGATTGCTGGCCACAACCAATCTCACTCCAAAACCAATATAAGGCAAAACATAGGCTTCCTAAGCACCCCAGAATAAAAATGTGGCCTCACCCGTGTCATTTTCAGAAAGTCCAAGGATGGGCGCGTCCACCTGGCATCCTCCTCCCGTCTCCGCTTGCGCCGGACCCTCCTCCCATCCAATACACAAGGCTGTGAGCGGCACCGGAGCAGGCCATGGTGCCGGCCTAGCTCAGGTGTGGACGTGGGGGTGCTGCTGGCTGACGGCAGGCAAACGCTTGCATCTACAAGGTGCTCTTGTGAGAGGGACAGTCGGCGCCTGGAGGAAAATGCGCAGGGTCCTGCAGAAAGCCAGGATGGACCTGAGCTTGTACTGCCCTCACTGCTGTCCACAAAGCCGCTGCTGGCTGACGCTGGCCGGGGCGTCAGCGGTGACACAGGGCTCCTGGGTAGGCCCGGACCCACACTCCCCTGCAGGGCAGGGTTCCCAAGGCCACTGCAGCACTGCAGGGTGGCACTCCCACCACTGTTGCATCTCCTTTTAGAGATGGGAGTCCACACCTTGGAGCTACCAGGGCGCCATGGGGAACGACATCGAGCCAGCTCTTCTGGTTCAGACAGGGACCGGCAGTGTCTCTTGGTTGGTGGTGCTGCAGGTGGCCCTGTGCTCTCATGGAGGTCCAAGAAGCTGCCCACAGCCATGGGCCCTGGGGATTCCAGCTGCCACCTGAGACCTTCGGTCTGAGACACACCATGTGGGCCCAGTGGAAAGCGGCCTGAGACCGCCTGGCTTCCAATGGGCCATCCTCCATGTAAGGCCTTCCAGGGACTTTTGTCCACTAAGGAAACACAAAGGTGTGGGGGGAAAAGGCAGATGAGCAATAGGGAGCCACCCTGAAGCCTCCCTTCCCAAGCTCATGGACATACATAAACAAAAAACACCCCTGTTTTCATGGATAGTACTACTTCAGGAGCCCCTGGCATCTGAATAACCAGGTAGCACTTGTTCCATTTTTATTTTGTTTCTAGGTTTTTTGTGTGTGTGTTTTTCAGGCCAGAGGCTCTCTATGTAACCCTGATTGTCCTGGAACTCACTAGACAGGCCAGGCTGGCCTCAAAGTCACAGATTCACCTGCCTCTGCTTCCTGAGTTCTGGGACTAAAGGCATGCGCCATCATACCTGCCTTCAGCTGGTCTTAAGGAATTATCTCTCCACCTGTGCTTCCTGACAATAATCTGGTTCTGATCTTACCCCCATTTTACTAGTACACCATGTCATCAAAATACTTTACCGCTGTCCCTGGCCAGCCTCTAAAGACAGACCTCTCACAGCCAGGAGCCAAATAAAGCTACTTCTTGGAAACAGCCTCATTTCTTAATGACCCAAGTGGACAGCTAGTCTCAAATCTTCTGACAGATAAGAGGCTTCAGTTGAAGCGGGGTGTCGTGGCTCACTCATGTGATCCCAGTGCCTGTGAGGCAAATGCAGGACTGATGCGCATTTGGGCTTTACTTTGTTTCTGGGATACACAGTGCATCTCTGTCTCAAACAAAAGAAGACCTGGCCTGGACATCTGGACAGTGGACTGGGACAAGGACCTCCATGACATCCTCAAGCCACCATTTCTTCATCCCTTGAGCAGGTGCTGGCAATGACCCCTTGGTGGCTGGTCATCCTGTAACACCATGTGCCCAAGACATCACAGGTAAGTGTAGCATAAGGGCACTTCTTTTGCCCCTTCCATCAAACCCACTGAGGAGGACTTAGGAGTCCTTAAAACATCTGAGCCCAGATTGTAGCTCACAAGACCAAGCACCCCAGAATCTAATCTACTTTTCCCAGGGCATAGGCCCACATGACAGCTCTCCACATATGTGTCCAGCCAAGTCCAGCTCCCCTCTGCTCAGTTCATGCACTTAGTACAATTTGGCACGCAGACCATGGATAAGTTTCTCAGAGCTAGCATGGCCCTAGCTCCTGTTCCTCCTGTTGGATGTAAAGGGCAGGCACCTGCTCCAGCCCTCCCTCACAGAAGCAAAGTCAGGTATGTGAGTGTCTTCAAATGGAATCAGTCCAGCGATAAAGCCCAAATATCCAAAAAACCTGACCAAGGGATGTTCTGGACACTCTTAATGGGAGGGCCTCCAACAGGTCACTTGGTTTCTCCCTGCTGCTTCCAAATACTGTCAAGCTAAGATAATACTGGAGTAGAGGCCACAGAGATCAACACGACACAGCCAGGGTCACCTCTGGGGAAAGATACATCAAGGACTCTGGAGTGACCTGTCACCTGGGGTGACAGCAAGGAGGTAAGATGGGGGCTGAGGGGAGGAGAGAAGAAAGGAATGCATTAGAGGCCCTCAGAAACTCTGAGCAGAGACTGAGGTAGTTAACATGGTCCCATATGCAGGATAGACTGGAAGAGCCAAAGTCAAGTGGGAGTGATACAAGCTAGGTGAGATGCAGACAAATGGAGACTTCACGTCCTACTTCCAACTGTTAGTGAAAAGGCTGGTCGATACCTCTATTTTAGTGATCTGGTGGTCAAGGTGAACTGGACATGGTTCTACCATGTAAGGTGTTCCAACTGTCAAGGTCAACACAGAGCAATTCCAAACCCAGAGTCTTTACTTAAATTTATCAGAAGGGTTCCCCGCACTATTCTAATTACTAAAGAGCAATGTTCTAGGAAGTGAGACAGGAGACAGGTCCAGGAATACTCATTCAGCCAGTGTGTACCACAGCAGAATGGCACCCAAAACCACATACCACCTGATTATCCTTTTCCCGATAGCTGAAGGAAGCCACAAAGTGGGCTTGTGTCTTGCATAAAAGGTAAAGCAGTCCCTAGCTTCCTCCCACATCATCACCAGCAGCAAAAACAGAGGCTTTGCTGAGCCTTGACCCTGGCCCACCCTGCTTAGAGACCAATTCTGACTCCTGGCCCATGAGCAGGGAGGGTGGTGGTTCATGATCTTCCTGTCCCACACATAGGTCCCACAAAGGTCTCCCTGAACCTTGCTGTGAATATCTGACTCAGTCCAGCATCAAGACCCCTCCTGGCTAAAGGCCCAATGCCACCTTGCTCCATTATCACCTACTTCACTCAGCCTTAGGAAGACCCTACCTGGGCTTCTGAGACACTTACCGCCAATCTCCAAAGGGAACAAATGGCCACTTTTGTTCAGTTTCTCAGCAGAATACTAAAAGTGACAAGAGAGAAGTCTCAGTACTCATGTGAAAACTCAAGAGTTCACTACAGTAACCCTATTTGTCCCACTGGTGTTTTAAAATAAAACTGACCTCTGAAAAATACCTTTTTCTTATTACCTTCTACCATGTGGGTTCCAGAATCAAACTCAAGCTTGTCAACAAATGCCTCTACGCACTGAGCCATTTCACTGGCCCAGTACAAGTTTTTTACAAGTTTTTTTTTTTAACCTAACAAAATCCAGCTGAACAAATGGATATCATCCTGAGCCATTACAGGTTTCCTCATATTGCTCCTTCTGGCCTTCTCCTTTTGGATGGTCTCTGCTAATGGTCTTTCAAACCTCACCACATAGTTACTTTTCAGAAAGACCTGAGGGGCTAGAGAGATAGTTCCATTAAGAGCATTAGCTGCTCTTTCAGAGCACCCCAGTTCAATTTCCAGTACCCACACAGAAGCTCATAACCACCTTCAATTCCAAAGAATCTGATGCACTCTTCTGACCTACTTGAGCCCTACATAGAGACATGGTGTACATACATTCAGGCAAAATACTCACACACAGAAAATAAAAATAAATCTTAAAAAAGGACTGAGCAAAGACATAAGACATCAGGGCCCTTTACTGTTCATGACAGTCCAAATAAGATCCAAGCCCTAGCCTGATTGTCCCAGTCCTGAGAAAGGTTCAGAGCCCAGGGTGAACCCCATCCAGGAAGGCAGATAAGCTATCGGCAATCTCAGAGATTGGCAGGAAATGCCATAGCAACTGCATCAGAACTTTTGGGGAACTGTGTTGCTTCACATAAAGAGAAAGCCAGGTGACTGATATACCTTTATGATTCCAACATTCAGGAAGGCCAAAGCAAGAGGAATACTCCAAGTTTCAGATCAGCTTGAGCTACTTAGCAAGACCCTGTTCAATCAACCCATCAAATCAACCAGCCCATCAATAAACAAGACACGCACAGTGGCACATGCCTGTAATCCCTTACTTGGGACTCCATAGAGGTGGAAACAGAGCATCAGGAGTTTGGCTACATAACAAGTTCAAAGCCTAGGTAAAACTCCATTTTCAAAAAAATAAAGCTAAAAGGAGTAAGTTAAAAGTTAGGGTTGAGATTCAGAAAAGGCACCTTCAACAACAGGTAGCCTGTCTTCAGATTGGACAGGTCTTCCTCTGCAGTGGATTATGTTTTCCCTAATACAGCTGAATGGGGGTGGTGAACACCTGGGCTCTGTGGGCACTGAACAATCTCAGGCTCAAGTGGAAAGAGAAAACTGCTTCATAGATACTGCCCTTCCACCACTGTGCATAATTAGTGAGCTGCCCACACCTTTTCAATAGCTACAAATGCCCCAGCATATTGGTTTCCCTTTCCACCTGGCTGGCAGCCACTCCCACAGCCAGCAGTCCTCCTGCTGAAGTCCAACGTTTCCCAAGAGCAAGTAACTGCACTGTTACCACAGCCCTGCTTCCCTAGGTCTGCATGCCCATGTGCATAATACACCCACCACAAGAACCCAATAGACTCCACGAAAGACAGGCTTTTCTTAGCCAACAGAAATGGTTCCTGGGGTAGTTGAGGAGCTGTGGGCCTGTACCTAACCAGATGTACTCAGTGCACATTCAAGGATTGGTGCAGCATAGCAGGTATCTACAAGGCTTTGGCTGTGTGAGAGATGGGATGAAGAGGGGAACAGCCCAAGGACACAGGTACACACACTCAGGACAGTGGGTCTAATGCAAGAGAGCAGAGGGCTGAGTGCATCCATTTGCAGGGATCAGTCTCTATACCATACCACATCCCAGGGCCTTGTTAAGTGGGCAGCTGCTGAGTTTCCTCAGGTGATACTCAAGAAAGTAGATTTGTTGAGACAGCAGGGTCCTACTGGGCCAACCCAAGCCTGGATCTGCCCAACTGGACATGGCTGGGGAACACACACAGGGCACCAACAACCCATACTAAATTCATCTAACTCAGTAGCATGATGTTCCATACTTCTTGCTCTGAGCTTATCCACATAACACTTTCCTCCCTCCTTTTCCCCTGACACCTAGCTCATAGCCTTTTAATCTAGCTCTAATATACCTATCCTGGACTAACACTAATGTTGGTGGTCTTGGCTGGCCTTTCTCTTTCTCTGCTTACCCTGGCATCATTACCCTCTCGCCCATCACTAGAGGGTACTGCTATCCTGATCTGAATCATGGTCCTTCTGCTTCACACCTTTAATCCCAGCACTCATGGAGGCAGAGGCAGGTGGATTGCTTTGAGTTCAAGGACAGCCTGGTCTACAAAGCAAATCCACGACAGCCTAGGCTACACAAAGAAACCCTGTCTCAAAAAACCAAAAAAGACTTTGGTACCTAAAAGTCAAATCCCAGGACCAAGGCATGTCTTAATTAGGTTTTCTATTGCTGTGATAAAATACCATGACTAAAAGCAACCTAGGGAAGAAAGGACTTTTTGGCTTACATATCCCGAGTACAGTCCACTGAGAGAAACCACAGCAAGAATTCAATCAGAGCGGAAACCTTGAGACAGGAACTAAAGCAGAAGCTATGGAGGAGTGATGTTAACTGGCTTGCTCTCCACAGCTTACTCAGCCAGCTTTCTTATACTATACAGAGCCAATGTCCCAGGGATGGTACTATCCTTATTGAGCTGTGCCCTTCCCACCAATCATTAGTTAAGAAGATGCCTATAATCATATTTCCTCATTTAAGACATTTTCTTCCAAGATATGTCTAGGTTGTGTAAAGCTGACAAAAACCAACAAGCACAGTATATGATCCCTGCTGCCACCAAGCCCTCAACCAGGAAAGCTCATAGTCTACTTCCTCCTTCAACACTGGCTCCTTAGCTCCCTGCCTCTCTAGAAGTCCAGCTCTGCATCAGAAGCCTCAATGCACAACTGAAATGCACATGTAAAATTTAGGTCCCAGGCGTTGGAGAGATGGCTCAGAGGTTAAGAGCACTGACTACTCTTCTGGAGGTCCAGAGTTTAATTCCCAGCACCCACACAGTGGCTCACAACCATCTATGGTGTGATCTGGTGTCCTCTTTTGCCTTGCAGGTGTACATGCAGACAAAGCACTCAAATACATAAATAAATCTTGAAAATTGAAAAAAAAAAAAAAAAAAAAGGTCCCAATGTCCCTTCCTGTCTGAGAATACTCTAAACCTAAACACACGTGATGGCTGGGCCCAACTACCTGTCAATTTCTTCCTCCTTGTTGCCCCCCCCCAAGTCCTTCACTTTCCCTGCCAACAAAACACTCGTCCATCTTCAATGTACACCCCAGATCTTCACTGTTGCTCTGGCTGACCAGCAACACACGAGGCCACTGCCTTCAACAATCTTCCACCTGTGGTCACAAACTATCTGCGCCTCTCCTCCCTTAAGGTAGCAATGAGTCAGGTACAATCATGGATTTTTCTTTCTGTAACAGCTGGACTCTTCAATATCCTCCAAGTACAAAAAAGCAAAGTAGAAAAAAACCTGGGTGTGTCTCAGGTACAGGGTGTAGAAATTGGGAAAAGAGGTGCCGATCAGACCAAATAAAGTGAACAGACAGGCAGAGATGGGAGGAGCCAGTCCTGCTGAGTCAGGGGAGGGCTGGAGTACCCTGGCTTTAGAGGGCCAGAGGTACAGGACCATACAGAGGTATGGACTCACAGGACACACTGTGAGTCCATAATGACGAAGCCTATGGTAGCAGACATCCACTACCGTCCCCAATAGAGCCCCAAGCCTGAGTGAGGTCTCTTGCATTCCCCTCCAGCTCTGCTGCCCTTGGGATTCAAAAGCTTAATCAATCTGGTGGCCCAAGTGCCAGAACTGTGGCCAACACAAGTTGTCCCCACCCCCCACATGGGGGTCTCAAGCAGGTAGAACAACCAACCCACGTTAGCATCAGAGCCACAGCAATGGAGGCACTGAATGTTTAATGACTTTAATTTTTATTAAAATTTCACTTTTAAAAAACTGATACTCAGTTTCGTTACCAGAAAATTGTCACTGGGTGGTGGTAATGCACACCTTTAATCTCAGCGCTCAGGAGGCATGAGCAGTTGAGATTAAGGCCAGCTTGGTCTTCAGAGCAAGTTTCAGGTCAGCCAAGGCGGCATAAAGAAACTCTATCTCCAAAAAGCCAAGAAAAGAAAGTTCTTAATTGTTTAGGATAGCTTGAATAGGTGAATCTACTTTTCTAAGAATAAATTTTATGAAAAATATATTGGGAAGAATAAACACCCTGTAGGCATCCAAACTCAGAAAGACTTCTGCCTACGGTCTCTGTGCGCTTTCTCTTCTTTGTGTGTCTGGAATCCCTAGCTGTGCTCAGAGTGTATCTGTGTTAGCTTTCAAGTTTCACGGCACCAAAAGCCAAAGACAAAACATTGAAGTGCACCTGGAAATCAGATGGTAAGTCATAAGTTACAAACATTAAAAATAAATAATCAGCCAGGCATGGTAGTGCACACCTTTAATCCCGGCACTTGGGAGGCAGAGGCAGACAAATCTCTGAGTTTGAGGCCAGACAGCCTGGTCTACAGAGTAAGTTCCAGGACAGCCAAGGGCTACACAGAGAAACCCAGTTTAGAAAAATCTAAATAAATAAATAACCACCAGATGTGATGGCATACACCTGTAATCCCAGGACTCAGGAGGCAGAGGCAGGTGGATCTCTGTGAATTTAAGGCAACCCTGGTCTACACAGCTAGTTCTAGGCCAGCCATGGGTACATAATGAAACCCTGTCTCAAAAAAAAAAAAAAAAACAAAAACAAACCACACACACACACACACACAAACCCACCATACCTAATAAAAAAAAACGACCCACCCACTAAGCTAAAGCAGGTGAATGAATCTGTACTGATAAATCTGAGGCAGGCTCCTGGAAAGGGGTAGTAGCAGGATCACAGGATCACTTACCCTGGCAGATCTGGTAAGCAGGCCAACAGAATTCTATGTAGGTCAGCCGTGCATTAGAGTTGATTTGGTTTGTAGTGATGGTTATGACACACACTGGCCCCTGTCCATGCCCCTACTCAGCTCTGCCTCCACCCTACAGTGTGCTGTCTCCATGTCTATGTCTCTGCACAGTGGACTGTGCCCACCTCTGACCCCCACGCTGACTCACCGGGCCAGCCTCACACGCCCTTCGGGTAAGGTCATCCAAACTCTGGTTCTGCAGCTTCTCCGTGATGAGAGTGACCATGGTCGGGGCTCTTCCTTAGTCCACATCTATGGGCTCTGGATTTCCAAAACACTGGACATCAGCAGGCTCAAGCCATCAGGTCTGAGCTGAAACTCAGGGTAAGAGCTCTGATTTAGAGATGCTGACCCATTTCCAGACTTTTCAGTGCTGTGTCTCTGTAAAGAGAAATCACCACATGACCATATGCTTCAGTCTATATTTCTGTTATATACAAAGCATTCCTGTGTTCACAAAATGTTCCTAGCATCCCTCTTTGACAAATATCTTCCCAATTACAAAATAAAAACAAACTTGTTCCTTCCTGAAACCTCTAGTAACATCTTCTAGACCAGCAGTTCTCAAACTGTAGGTCATGACCCCTTTGGGTTAAAAACCCTTTCACAGGGGTTGCCTAAGACCATCAGAAAACACAGATATTTATGTTACTAATCATAACAGTAGCAAAATTAATTATGAAGTAGCAATGAAAATTTTATGGTTGGGGGTCACCACAACATGAAGAACTATAAAAAGCCACAGCCATTAGGAACGCTGAGAACCACTGTTCAGGCGCTGAGGCCTCTCCTGAAGCAGCAAGAAAACCCATGGCAGGCTCTGTCCCCAAAGGGCAATGAACACACGAGAAGAGACAACAGCAGCCACATCCAGTGAGAAGTAAGTTGCTGGGCCCCATACCAGAGGCATGCTAGCTCTGCAGGTGGCCACATTGGCCTCCAACTCCAGCCCTTGAAGCTGGGGAAGGAGGGGAATGGGTCTCTCTACAGAAGATGAAGGGTGGGGTACCAAAGGCAAGCCCAGAGCTCTCTAACAGGTCTAGCCTAAGGCAGGATGACTGTGGTAATGATGAAAAGTGTGTGTGTGGTGCGGAGTCATGGGCTCTCAGCTTTCCAGAAGTAAGCATCTAAGAACATGCAAAAGGCCCTGAACCCTTTGCAGCTGTCATCCCACTGCACCCATACAGCTCTAATTCTTCAGTGTCTCACTGCGGACTTGAGCAGGAGCGTCAGTCGGGGGCTACCAAAACAAAAGTAACCAAAACAGAAGGTGGGGAAACATGGCAAACTGGGATAATCAACAAGTAGAGCTGGGAGTTGAGCTCAATGGTGAATACTTGCTTACAGTGCAAAAAGACATGGGTTCTATCACAGCCCTGAAAAAAAAAAGTATCAAGGTGAACTATCCTGGTAGTCAGCCTTGCCCTCAGCACAATCTGTCATGCAACAGATCAAAACAAGCACATTACTCAAAAAGAGGAATGCAGAAAAAAGAAAGTAGAGCTCCTAGAAGTTGAGTTAGCCCAAAAGAACCACTTCAGGGGCTCTGCAGTGTGTATCTACAAACAACAAAACACCCTGGGGCTCAGACCACCTCCTTCCACCCAGTAAGGTGGAACAACCTTTGGGAGTGTCTGACACAAGATCCTTGGGTATGAGTCATAGGATCCACACCTGCTGGAAGAAACATCACAGCCAGGTGGGAATCACACTGGCAAAACAATGCACCCAAGCCTAAGATCGTCAATAGAAGGAGAAAGTCATATGAACATTCTTAAAGATATCAGAAACATCTCAAACAAGATCCAACACCTACTTTCCATTCTTGAAAGTATATGTACAATCTGTCAACAGAAACAGCAAATACTTCCTCTGTGACTTTGAAATATGAGGCTGAGAAGCCAGCACGTGACTAAACAGGGCAAGGTTGGCATGTGGCAAGCACGGGGATAAGAGGATCAGGGCTACATGTCACCATCACACTGAGCACACACTGGCTAGCCTACAGCCTGCCAGGAGTTTCCACTAGTAGATGCAGAAAGCAGGTAACCTAGCTCAGGCCTATCTGTGAGCTCAATTCAATAAAGGTGCCATCAACACGTGGGGTTGTTCTCGGCCAGTTTTTACTGCACCATTCACATGCCACTCCTGTTAGTCGGACGTGAAATTCCATCCACCATGCCTAAAGGCACAGCATTTGGTATACTCAGCCCCAGCAGGGTAACCACCACCTCCAACTTACACCACAGAGGAGCAGCAGCCAGGGCAGGGCCTGTCTTTCTTTCTTTCAAATAAAGCAACCTAAATCCGAACCAGCTATGTTCTCCACATGCTCCATGACAGAAGCAGTACTGGTACTCCATAAGCTTTTCAGAGCCAGCAGGGACACAGGGCCATGGGCAGCCTGGCCTTACTGATCAGCTAAACTGAAAGCTCCCAAATCCCCAACTTCTGAGCCATGCCCTAACAAGACAAGGGTTTTGCAGTGTCTTCCATCAGTGATGATAACAAATGGCCGCTCCTGGCCCATGTGCCACCAGAAGGGCTCTCACATACCTTGCTGTGATTTACTTATTTTTACTTTATAGAGAGAGACAGATAGATGTAGATATTTTGCCTGTGCACATACATATGGTTTCCATTGAGGCCAAAAAGTGTCAGATTCCCCGGACCTGGAGCTGCAAACTCAGATGCCATGAGTACTGGGAATTGAACACATTCCTCTGGAAGAGTTCCTCTGCTCTGAGACAGGGTTTCTCTGTGTGGCCCTGGCTGTCCTCAAACGCGATCTGTAGACCAGGGCGGCTTTGAACTCAGAGATTCACCTGTCTCTACCTTCTGAGTGCTGGGATTAAGGGTGTGCATGGCCACCACCATCACCCAGCTGCAGCCACTGCTCTTAACCGGAGCCTTCTCTGCAGCCTTCACACACCTGTTGTAACCTCATCACACAAAGAACACACATCAACCTAGAAAGGGTACAGTGCAACTTAAAAACAAAACAAACAAACAAACAAACAAAAAACCCCTAGGATTTTATATTCTGAAATAAGCCATACAAGTCATTAGAGAAATGGCTGGTTCCAAAGCTGGAGCTCTGAGAGTTTAGGAGGCAATGTATGACTCCAAGGAGGATGAAGGTCTTCTAATGGAACAGGCACAGGAACAATCCAATCCACAGAATGAAGTAGGAGTCCCAAATCTACATGAATGAGTCAGTGTCTGGGAAAAGTCAGTCAACAAAAGTGAAAGTTCTTCCCTATAGCACAGTGAAAACTACTAACAGGGTTAGAACAACAGAAAAGCTAAAAGTCCCGTTTTACAAATAGCCTAACCGCCTCCTCCAAGGATCACCTGTGAATTCCACAGGTGAATAGCACATGTGTGTCTCCAAGTACTTTCTCACAAGACACTTTACAAAGAAAAAAATTGCAAAAACTGGCCTGAACCACAGGATCAAAGTGACCACAGCCAGTGACAGGACATACCGACACCATAAGACTCCTAAGGGGACATTAAGGAGGTCACAGCCCACTGTGGGACTCCACACAAAAACAAAGAACCTCAATTTACTCAGGAGGAAATGTCAGGGGAACTCAGTGAGGCAAACAACAAAATAACTGGCAGATCCTTTAGAAGCAGTGAGTTGGGCTGAAAAGATATTTCAGCAGTTCAGAGCACTAGCTGCTCTTCCACAGGTCCCTGATCATATGCCTAGCACTCACACAGCAGCTCACACCTTCTGTTCTGTAACTCTGGTCCCAGGGAATCTGATGGCTTTTTTGGCCTCCACAGGCAATGCACACACATGTGCACAGACATATGCAGGCAACACACCCTATACACAAAACAAAAATAAAAATCCCCCCAGAAAAAAAATTATAATAAATGCTGGGTCATGAAAGAGCAGAACAAGACCTCACCCAGGCTGAAGGGCACCAAATGCAATAATGATCCTCAAAGGGACAGCATCCAAAGTCTGACTAATTGCTGTTTGATGACAACACATTACTGGCATTATTTTCCTAATTTTATCTGTGTCCTGTGTGAGGCAAGGTATGGATATTTGGAGGGTCTGCATGCTGCTAAATAGGGGAATGGATAAATAAGTATGAAACTGTCACCCTGTCATAGTCACAGATGTTTAAAACACGGAACAAAGAAGCTTCTGGAAACTGCTGAGGGAGGTGTGTATAGCACAGTTCACAAGGACTGGCAACTCAAAAGCAGGTCATGGGATCAGGGTGTAGCTCAAAGGAAGCAGCTGTCCCTAGGTGCTCAAGGCTCTGAGCACTGCAAAACAAACAAAGCAGTATACGTGTGGAATGGACTAGCCAGATGCTGAAAAAAAAGCCTTTCCTAAAAAGACCCAATTTCCAGATAAGGTCACTTCACAGATCCTGAAGTTACAGCTTGAATATAGCTTTGCAGGGGGATGCATGCAATTCAACCTACAATGCCACGTGAATCTACCCTTACAGGAACCTGAATGCACAAAATAAGACATAGCTCAAAGTCCTATTTAGAGGGGCAATAAGAGCACCCTCTCTGATGGATGACACTGGTGCTAAGCAAGACTGACAGCTGAGCAAGAGAAAAAGGGGACAAAGGCCAAGACTGATACCAAGGTAGACATAGGGAAGACACAGTCAAATCAGAGAAACCTGGCTCAGATGATGGAACTGGCCAGTGCTGACCATAGGGCTGCTCACAAACCAGGGACAGGTGCTCTGATGAGAGCTAAGAAAGGACTGTAAGTGCTGGCTCTCAGGGAAACATAGGGAGCCCCGCATCCGCCCCTCCTGAATGTCAACTCCCCCTGTGGAGTGAACATGCCACAATGGACAGGCTACAGTCAGCTTACTTCCTCTCCCTCTACAATTCAGTCACCAAAACGATTTTGCAAGTAGGCCAGTAGCTTGGATGACCGTCTAACTGGCTCCCTGCCATTCTACCCTACTCAGCCACACCTTCAGGGCCTGAGGACTGACTCCTAAGACAGTTCTTAGGAGAACTGTCCTCTACAGGTTATAGAAGTCACACTTCTAGGGCTCCAGGATACAGAACAAAATCCTCACTCTAGCCAAGATCTTCTTCTCCAATACTACGGCCATGACAGTACCTCAAGAGTGGCACACCCTGAACAGGTACCCACAAAGGCAGGACAGGAGCTCCAACAATGGCAATGGTAGTTCCTCATTACCTGGGGAACTACCCTCAAAAACGGCATCAAAGTAGGTTCTCTGTTGTTGTGGTTTTAGTTGGTTAATTCAGTCTATCACATGGAGTTGTCTGGATAGTGCATGACAGCACAACCAGCGACCTTTGGTTGCAGGAACAGAGTCCCACCTTTGTTGAACTGTCCCTCCCCAGGCCCTGTG